ATTTCTGAGGGCTTGTCATGTGTCAGACATTCTGCTAAGCTCTTTAAATATCTTAGAGCATTCATTCCTCATGATGACCCTGTGAGGTAAGTACTGTTATTTTCCTCATTTCGCAGGATAAAAGATGGAGACTTAAAAAGATGGAGATAAAAGATGGAGAACAAGTAACTGGCCAAAGGGTACTCAATCAGTAAATGGCAGAGTCAGGATCCCAAGCCAGCCTCTTCACTCCAAAGCTCCCCTCCTAACCACCAGTCCGCACTGCCATTGGACTAGTTAGTCACCAAGTTAGCGTGACCAAGTTTTTACATGCCCACTACACATAATGGCTCTCGCGATGCAGATTATTTCTTTAAAGTTGTATTAAGATTCAATCTGAGATTTTGTTTGCAATTTGGATCATGGCCAGGGATGACTTACGCAGTTTGCTGTCAAATTAAATGGAGCTGGACAAAAAAGTCCACTGGAATGCACCAAGAATGGCCGCTTGGGACAAACATGTTTGGGCATTTCCTTAGGACTATTGCTCTGAATCTCTTGAGGGAAGGGGGAATCTGGATGCATTTTCGGCAAGGAACAGATTTGTTTGCTAATGATTGTGATCCTGATAGTGTGATGAGTGAGAACTTTTTTCACTTTTCCAACCCTTGCCAATTTAAGCCCCCTTCATTACTGCCTTGGAGGGAACACAGGAGACCCGTGCCAGAACAGATCCGCAAAGGTGCGTCTCTGATCTTCTCACAAACAATGTCTTGCACAATTTCCCCCAGACAGCATTAACAGTCATTCTGGTCTCATAGACTGAGCTGTATGAGGCCAAATGTAGTATAGCTTACATTTAAAGCCCCTCTGAAAACATAAGGTGCTTATGAGCTGAACTAAAACAATGCCTTTTTAATTATTGCAGAACCGTAGGCATCACATGATGGATTTTAGCCTTCACCTGAGAGGCAAAGATGATATAAAGCACTGCACAAACAAACAGAAAAAGGCATTAAAAAAATTTCTCTGTGGTGTAAGACAGAAACTTAGAGTAATTATGGCAGGCACGAGAGAGGAATTTACATTCAGTTAGATTCTAAATGTCTTAGTGACACGGGAAAGGGTCCATACTCTTGGGTGAAAAGAATGCAGTAGAAAACAAATGAAACAGTAGATCCCTGACTTATAGGAGGGAAACGCCTCTGGACTTCTGGGCATACCGTAGCTGGGACCACCACCGGAACATTGGAGAGAGCCTATGATGGGAATAGTGATGTCATAGCTCTGAGCCACCAATGGGAAACAGTCTTAATTTTAGCTAAAAGCCATTAAATTTTTACCTTCACTCTCTCTTCCCCTCTATTAGAAGTGTTAACTTTTGGCTTCCTTTTTGAGACCACTCTTGGCTAGGAAACAAACCATTTTACCACTTCATAAAAATGACTGCGTAAAAGACACCAGCAGAGAGCAACAAAAGCTCTCTTGGGATGGAACTTCTGGCAGCCAGGTAGGCTCAAATGTTGGTCTAGTAGTAGAAGGGACTCATATTCCTGCCTCAGCAAAATGTCAAGTTACTACATGTCATGGATATTCAGGCTTGCTTTAGAATAGTGGAAACCAAGAACGCTAAATCACTGAATTCCAAGTGTCCACTGTACACAGTATGACCTCATCTATGTTACAGCCTATAGACAAGACTGGAAAGAAACATAGCAAAAGCATTAACACTGGTGATTTGTGGGCACTGGAGATTGTTAGTGGGGTTTATTGTGTTCATTATGGGCTTTTAACTCATCGACATTTCTTAGTTAGCATTAAGCACCAGAAAAAAATAAAAGCCATAAAAACATAAAAATTATCTTGAAAACAGGGGTTAGGTGTCAACCATCTCCTTAGCTTCAAGAACCATTAGATGAGCCAATCCATAACCATGTGAACCAGAGGATATTGTCTGTGAGTGAAACGAGTAGGGAATGTCATTTGGTTCACTAGTTCAACTATAAACACTTAGTTATTACAAAGTAAATTACTGCAAACAACAAGGCTGTTTTGGTAAACAAAAAAAAAAAATTGGGCATCAAGGATTATGGCAAATGGTCGTCATAGCTAATTTATTTCTGGTTTGTTTTAGTTTCAGATGTGTAGCAATGAGAGAATTCCTACTATCACAGAGAAGCAGATATGTAATGGTAAGTTTTAAACAGCTCATCCTGCAATCTTAGGATACTTATTTTTCTGGCCAAATAGACATATCGAAGAACTTAAGGATGAGGGCAAAAAGTAGTTACTTTGGTGGGATAACATTTTTATAACTGTTCCAACAATGCTTATAATTTAGCTGAGCTTGAATTAGTTAAAATTAGTTTAACACGTTTGACTATATGAACTTCCTGTGAGTTCTTGTTGAAAAACACTTCAAAATATATCAAATGAAATTCAGGGAGGCGACTCTGTGGAGTGACAGGTTCTGTAGACCAAGTCTGAACACTGCTAACTTAATGCAACAAACAACCCTCTTACCCCCATTTCGTGGGTGAGAAAACTGAGGTCCAGAATGAACCAAGGGCTCCAGACCAATTATTTAGTGCACTTTTTGCTGTCCATGGTACTTCCCAGGATTGACAGGCAATAAACTTGGCTATGTGAATGGGGTTTTGCTTTCAAATAATACATAACAGGCCCCCAATCCTAGTCTCACACAAGTAAAGTGAATAACTACCTCAGGGGCTTGATAAAAGGAATTTCTTTTGGAATTAAAAAAATATCTGACTGTCGGTACTAAGGACGTCTACATTTTCCCTTTTGGGGGTTTCTAATTTTAGACACAAAGGCGATAGTTTAATATCATTGTGTCACTCCTGATTTGACTATGAGGCAGTTATATCTGTAGTTAGAAAGCAGTTTCTTGAGGGTTTGAGTGTGATGTCTAAAGGGAGCGCAGAAGTTTGTTACACAGTAACACAGTTTGTTACACAGTATCTTCTTCTCTGGAACCATCACTTCTGTTTTCTTTTGGAATTCAGAAAAGTTGCTTTGACCCCAGGTATGCAAATAAGGACAATGAATTTCCCAGTGATCCTGAAGTATCTTAACCTTGGGGCAGCAAATCTACATTTCCTAAAGAGGAAATCTTAAATCTCTCCTACTGTTAAGTTTTAATTTTTACAGCTTTGTTTAATTACCTCTGCAATAAAAGAGCAGCTTCCTGACATTTGCCTCTAACTTACTTCTTCATTCTCCTTTCTCAGTTTTTTTTTTTCCTTAATAGCCACCTGTCCCAACATTTATACATGTGCTGTATTAGATGTTTTAAAATAACATAGGATGGAGACAAAGCAAAAATTTCAGAGGCAAACCTCTTTCATTATAACATGGCCTTTTGCTTTTGGATAATAAGAAATAGGCCGCAAGTGTGACTCTGACAGAGGAGATAGATAAAAATCAGGAGCCAAAAAAAAAAAAAAATGAGTAAATTATAAACATTTTCTTAAAATTGTTAACAAAATACTTTTATCTCACAACTGTCTTCCACAGTCATCTCTTTATCGGAGTTTTTTTTCCCCAGTTGTGGGAGTGAATCCCTCATTTCTCCTAGAAATTTACACACAAATTATCATGAAAACGGGTAAAGACTTTCAAAGTCTTCCTCTGGCTGAGCCACCTGTCTGAATTAGGATAACTATGCTTTTCTGCATAACTGGTCTTCTGGTATAGATATAAAAGATGTATAATAAGAAGAAGAATTTAAAAATAGGGTTGAATTGCATTAGTTATAATTATCTTGGCTAAAAGTGCTTCATACTCTTAATATTTCCAAAATAAAAAAAGTCCAAGCAAAATTTTAACACCTCATTCAGTTTTTAAATCACTTCCAATTTTCAATACATAATTATCTGGTGTAACATGAACCTAAACTAAATTAAACCTCACCTAAATTATATAATTATAAAATATTGATTCTGTGTCTTTAATGGAAACCTATTAGTCAGAGTTCAGTTTTATGAGCTAAGTATTTGAAATAGGCAATTTTGCATCACATGTAGAATTTGGAATCCATGAATATGAATCAGAGTACAAGAAAATAAACTTTGGGAAGTTAACAGCAGAAAACAAAACTTCAAAGTGATTTTCATGCATGTTGCTCATGTACTATTTCAACTATCTCAAGTTTTATTTTTATGTATCTATACTTACTAAACTATGATTTAAAAGTAATATTGAGGTGTTTCTCAGAAATCCAAGGAGCTGGGGGAAGGATTTTTAATCTTTTGGTGTTCACGATCAGCTTTGCAGAAGAATTTTTTTTTTTTTAATTTCTTCTCTCCTATGTATGGATAAGGAAACTGATAAAGAGATCTACCAGGAAGTGTTGCAACTACAAAGGCGAATATCACACCACAGATAGACTGCTGACCTGTACTTTTATGACTCGTCATCATCTGAGATGTTTCATTAATCAATCTGATTCTTAAATCTAATTGAGGGCCAGTTGTGGTTTCCAAAAAGCCATAGCTGACAGTGAAAATGTCAGGTGCCTCTTTAGAGCTTCTAATTTAAAAGACCTTTAAGAAAAATCTGACTATTGACAATAACTCCTGCTTTCTCCTTAACAAAGGCTGAGTTTATTAAAATTAGAGTTATGGACCACCCCTGGCTCAAATGGGTCAGCTGTGGTCCTTGAATATGGTCTGCATTGATCACGTCAAACTCCAGTGACGGAGTTAAAATGGAAAGACTCCTGGGAAGACCATGCCACCACACTGGCCTGGACCTTGTTAAGGAGAGACAGAAGTACCAGAATCAAAATAAATCAGAAGAGAAAATAATGCTTAAGGGAGTTCCCCAAGTGGAGAATCTGTAGACCCTGAGAGGGCGTCATCTAGCTTCAAGACTGAGGGGCATGGGTAACCAATAATGCATGATTAGGAAGCGATGCTTATTTTTCATTAAAAGATTTAAGAAGCTTAGCAGGAACACGATTTATATTTATGACAAATAAACTGGTAAATTTGACTGACCTGGCTGGGCAAGGATCCAAGTTGCACTCTTGAAGTTTGGGTTTGGGTTTGACGTTCTCCGGGTAATAGTGGCAGTACTGATCAGCAACCACACGGTTGCTCCGAAGATCATAACACTCGGCCGATGTCAGCTGGTAACCTGTAGTATCAAACCATCCAGGCAAGTTTAAGACACACAAACCATGGTAAAATATAATGCAATAGACTTCTTTATGCTTTTTGGCCATCTCACATTAATGGAAATTCTTCCCCAATGGTTCAGCAATTTCCAGGACAAAAGACAGATAAATGGGAGGCTCATTAATTTTTGCAGACCTCAAATATTATTTTTCCACTCGAATTTTAACAATTAAATTTTACTCTAAGGTTCGGATTATGGAAGGGCAGAGCTAGGTAGTAAGACTCTGCTGTAAATCCTTCCTTATTAATTTGCTTTGTATAATCTGAAAGTGTAACAGAGATTTCTGTATCCAAAAAAGATGATCGGTGTTTATTTGCCAAGCATTAAATTTTGCAAGGATGCAAAACTGCCTCCATTGTATCTGGGGCATTAGGGAGAATAAACTCCCAAATCAATAGCATAAACTCTAACACCGCTCCCCTGGATGAATGGGGGATAATGGGATTCAGCGCAAGACCAGGTCTTGCCAGCCACCTGAGAGTATCATCTTTGTCTATACTCAACCTGAGTGGGTTTGGTTGAGTAAATGTAGGATGAATCCCTCCAGAGCAACACCACCACCACCAACAATAATAGGACTCCCCTAATGTTCAGTTTCTTCTTCACCTGAAATCCTTTGCCATTGCTCCTTAAATTTAGTCTTTAGCTGATATTTTTTAGTTTCTGTGCACACATTTCCACTGTTTGGAGAATTCTTTTAAAAAATAGCATGGCTGAGTACTACCTAGTAGCATTCAAGATGTGTGAGACCTTTCCCACCTGCCTCTCTCTCATCTTGTGCGTTTCTGGTGAGACGGTGATGAAGACTGAGATTCTTAGCATGAAAAACAAAAGTACATGAGGAATTTTTTTTTTTTTTAACTTAGGCTTTTGTGTTTTCTAACCCTAATCAACCTCCAAAATATATTCTCCCTGGCAGGTGGTTGAATATTGTTATTGCTAGATATGTGTTACCAAGTTAGAATTAGAGTAATTAAAGACTTGCCAAAGATTTTAGGAAATCAGAAGAAAGCTTATAAAACCAGATTTCCTGGCTTGGGGCTGTGTTCTCAGACCACCCACAAAAATTAATTGTTCATTAAAGACCCAAAAAAAGACCTTTTAACAATTTTACTGTAAAGATGAAAAGCATGGAAAGTAATAGGTAAGAACACATGTTCCATTAAGCTTTTTATTTTATAAGAAAATCAAAGAGAAAAATCACCTTGTAAATAGTAAGTATACTTTTATTTTTCAATTATATTATACTCTAAAGCAGATAATGTTATGATAAACTAAGCATTTTATAATTAAAATTATAACTTATAATTTTATAATTGAATCATTTTATATTTTTTATAATTTTATAATTTTCCATATAATAATTTCTACTCAAGGACAGAATTTATCATGTAGTAAAATGTGGGCATAAGCAACAAGTAAATCATAATTTGTCAGCTTACAGATGTTGTTTTCAGGCTATAGGAGAGTTTGTGAAATGAAGGTGTAGGACAAAAATGAAATAAATGACCAAAATGGCCAGATAATTGTGTTTTCAAGCAATTCACAAGGTAATTGGATTATCAATTGTTTCTTTACACTTAGCAAGATGGTCAACCCCTTGAATGTGGAACCAAAAATACAAAAGGGAACTCAGAGATCATTTCTTCACTCATTTTCCAAGCTGTGGTCCACGAAGCAGGAGGAAAGCTAATTTCCACATGACTCCTATCTTCATTTTGAGTAATACTCCTTTTATCTGGGCTTCCTAGTAAGATTTCCTTTGAAGCAAGGGTTTGATTGCTCAAAACATTTGAAGACCACTAATGCTTCTCCTTCACTAAGATGTGAGGGAAATAAAGCTGAGAGGAGTTGGATATATATGAATCTAACAGGAATTGCTTTATTATACAGCAAGGCATCGCCAGGGTTACTGAAATTATACTCCATCAGCAGCTCTATGTGAAACAGACATAGTGGGCATATTACTCAATTGTTACTTCTCACAAAGCATGGCTTGCATTTAAAAAAGAAAAGAAGAAAAATAATTGTTTGGATTTCTTTCTTCGAAACTATTTCCTCTGCTAGTCATTAACAGGTGTATCAAAATAACATATTCTCATGAAACATCCAACTAATTGGGATTTTACTTTTTATAAAAGTCATCTTTCTCTTCTGGACAGACAAAACAAATGAAAACACTATTTTGTTGAAATGCTTAGAATGTCAAATTAATAGTTATTTAACAACCAAGTAGAAGCACGTGAAGGTCTTTTTGACTAACTGCTTTTAAGCTAAAACCCAATGTTATTCTTAGAACCTCATTTTTGGGGGTGTGTTCATATTATGCTGATGAAGATGAATTATTTCATGTGTTCTTACTGTCTAAAAAATTAATAGGTAATAGTTTGTCTCTATTTTGAGGTACCATCCTTTTCTCTTGTCAGAATAATCTAGTGATACCCATGTGGATTAACTACTTTATTTACCACTGTCCAATTAACAGGCTTCTTTGAAGGTGGAGCCAGAATTTATTTGATGTGCTATTTTTTAAAGGAATATACATACAATTTTATGCTCATTAAATCAGCAAAATTAAACAATTCTTATAATCCACAAATACTGGCTCCATTGGCAATGAAACTCAACTACTCATAAGCTGCTTATTACCATTCTGGAAAGAATTTTGGTAATAGATGCCAATAGCCACAAAAATTCTGAAACTCACTCTTGAGAATTTATTCCAAGGAAATAATTTGAAAGGAGTGAAATACTTAGGTATTAAGTTATTCATGACATTACAATAGGAAAGTTTAAATAGACTAAATCTTCTATAGGGATACGGCTAAATAAATTATAAAATATTTTGAAGCAATTATTATTTAACCATTATAATTATCACGAGCAGAAAGTAGGGGGAAATACCTTTTCCAGTAATACAAAATGCAATCGGTGTTGCAGATGTGACAGAGTAGAGATAAGAATTCATTATGTGACTTTTCAGGAGAGCTGTGTTTTCATGAATAAAACAGGCAAGTGCATTCCATTTATGGCACAGATGATGGGATAGGGTTTAACAATAATGGAGTCTAAGTCTATAGTACAGGGACTTTTTCCCTGGTAATAAACTATTTCCTTAATTAAATTAGTCTCTGATTGTTTTTGGACATAATGTGCTAGGTAGTAGGCCTGACAAACACTCTTCATTTGGCTCCTGAATAAGTAAGTTCTCTTCAACTGGGTGAATAGTTTATTCTCCAAGGAACAGAATAGAGTCAAGACTCTTTCCACTAATGGAACTCTAACAACATGAAATGTTCATAGGGCATCCAGATGGAGGTATCCTCCTTACGGGAGGGCTTCAGGATTTGGCCCCATTGAGTATAAAGAATCAGACCCATCACAGCATCAATTTCTTCCACATGGAAGTGACTACATTCATAACAGCCAAATCTTCCCTCACAGAAGCCAACATTGCAAAGGGTAAGTGGACACCATTACCTCCTCCACAGGTTGCTGAGCAAGGAAAGAAATCTGTCTCTCTCCATCTGTGGATGATGGGCTGGTAGAAGATGAACTGGACTGTGCTGTCAGCGGGCCCCGAGTTGCGGATCTGCAGGAGATAAAAGCAAAGAGAGAAACTGGTATGATAGGGAGGGATTTTCTTGGTCCCTTGCAACTTTGGACCAGAATGCATGGTGGCCTGGATGGTCTTAGGCTACATGAAGAACTGCATTGAAGAGAAGTGGCTATAGCAATATCATCGATCTTACCCAACAACCGGACACCATCACAACCATCACTTTTCAGTTGGGTTGTTATGGAACAAGGGATCACAACATCTCTACTTGTGATTCAGGCAGGATCTTTATCCAGGCCACTTACTCACTCTCTTTCTCTCCTGTATTTCCAGCTTCTCTGGTATAACAGCAAAATTATGTGGATTTTTATATGTGATGTATATATGTATGTGGATTTTTATTTTATTTTACTTATTTCTTTATTTTAAAGATTTTTAAAAATTCATTTGTCAGAGACAGAGAGAGCGAGAGCACAAGCAGGGGGAGAAGCAGGCAGAGGGAGAATCAGGCTCCCCACTGAGCAGGGAGCCTGATGCAGGACTCAATCTCAGGACACTGGGATCATGACCTGAGTCAAAGACAGATGCCTAACTGACTGAGCCACCCCGGCATCCCATATATGTAGATTTTTAAATTTAGGTTCCAAAGTAGACAATTTGTTCTGGGGAAATTATAAATGCCAAACACTGCAAAAAAATGAAAGATCCTGTCTTTAGTTAAGAAAAAAAGAATTAAAGAATTAAATGGCTCTGCCCACTCAGAAACATGGTGTTTCCTGGCACTTTAGTGATTCATACATTTTAATGTGCAGAGTTACCAATTGGAAGCTTGCTAAAATGCAAATCCCTGGGCTCTTGCAGGGCAAGAGCAATGGAAATATTGATGGTCCAAGTAGCAAGCTTTGAAAAACACCAACTTACACTACAAAAGCAAGTACTGTGAATACAACATGTCCTTATGGAAATTACAAACCTATTGCATTTTGAAAGAGGGGAAGTGAGGCAATAATTCTTTAATAGTTCTTAAAAGTACAAGGTTGAGAAAACATAATCTAAAAGAGAAGGAAAAAATACCCAACAGGAGCAGTGTCTTGATTTCACAAAGATCTAACCACATGCCGTATAACACTAAGACAGTCTGGCAAAACTTGGACTAAAGGAAGTTCCATGGACAACCAAGAGGGCCACCTCTTCAAGACAGTAGAGGTCTAACAGTAAATCACGTGGTCTACAACTTTGTTCATGTTTTCAAGCATTTCAAGGATAAACTGATGGGTTTGGCCTTCAGGTTTTTTTTTAAAAAACAGCCTATTTCTCTGCCACTGAGTTGAACAACTGGATTAAGAACTGGATTACACATCTAGGAACACTGGAACACAGGGAGTAGGTGTTAAACCCTAGACCAGATTTTGGACTTTGGATGAAAATGTTGGAAATATTTGTCAGATAATATGCAAGAACTGGAAAAGGAGAAAGAAGACAGAGAGAGAGAACTATAGAATATCTCATAATTATGCTGGCATTCTGACCCATGGAACATCGAGGTCTTTCTTAATTAGAAAAAACAGTGATGCAATCACTTACTTTAAAGCAAAAACAGCTGAAGCAATATGGTATCTTTCACAAAAGGAGAGCAAAGCCTACAGATTAATATTTTTCAATTCTATGTGTCAGATATAGGATACCTAATTGCTTGCTCAGGGATGTAGTATTAATCACATTCTTTGGAAAGTTTCTCTCTCTCTCTCTCTTTTTTTTTTTCTAAGCTCACAAAAGCCTATAGCTCTCTTGGGATGTGTGGTTTCCATGCTGGAAAGGTATTAGAAGAGGACTCTCATTTGAACACCAGGTCTGTGAAAAAATAAAAAGACCAGAAGATTTATTTAGGCTTAGAGAGATGGATTGTTTTGCAGAGGTCCCTTTTGGGATGCTTGAAATTAAACTAAGTCCTAGGAAAGTGGAGGAAAAAACAAAAATGGGAAGGATATAACATCAAAATCCTTGGAGAAACCTTGTTCTAGAATACCTGCACAGTGTCTAGGCTCAGTTTTTGATCTGGTTAAAGAGGAAAAAGATGGAATATGTCAAATTTTCAGCTTCCTGGAAGTTACCAGTAAAAGTACCTTATGCCCTGAGAGTAAGGAACGCATGTCAAGAAGTTCTGGTGTTAAGAGGGAGTGTTAGTTAATACTACATTGAAGGAAAGAAAACCAGGAGCTTAGAGAGACTATAGTTCCTAATGAGTCCAATGAATTTGAAGTACATGACCATGAATGCAGAGACAATATACCTAAATTTGAAGAGATTAGAAATGAACAGGGGTATTGTTATTTCAAATAGATAAAAACAGTCATGATGTATCCAAATCTCTGACCACATAATCTTATTTGGTTCTACAGTGATAATATTCCTGGTTCTCTCTTCTCTATAAGCACCCTTTCTTAATAATAACCAACAACTACACAACTACCACAGCAACCAGCACTTACTACATTCCTACTGTATGCAGGGTATGTTTTATTTGCATTAAATCAAATCTTAAAACTACTCTTTATTATCTTTCCACATTTACATTATAACGAGAGAGATGAGTCTCAGGGAGATTGAATGACTTGCTCCAAGCCACACAGCTAGGAAAGAGCAGAGCTGGGATTTGAATTCAGGTCTGCCTTGGCTTGAAAGCTGCCATTCTTTTCCTGGTACCAAGAAATTCTGTTAGCTAGCATTAGTGTTGTGAAGACACAGGTATTTATTCTTAGTGGTGGCCTTGTACTGCTCTTTTCAGTTTCCTCTTAATTTTTCATTTGAAAGTGGGAAGAATATGTTTAAAATAAAGAGGCTAACCTGATGTCTAACTCTGATGGCCTAATTGCTGTTCACAGAGATGAGCTGCCATGTTCCTTGTTTCTGGTCTTATTAATTCTGGGACCTTGGTTATCATTAGCTCTGGAGATTTATACACCCTAAATCCTCAGACGTCAGGTTCTTGTTGTCCAGAGATATTGAAAGCTTCAGTTTGACACATTAGAATTTAGTTTTAGGGAGCTAAACACATCTGGCATATGTAATTTGGGCCTCCTTAAGTTAATAAAGGAAAAGAATGTTCTGAAACAAGCTTTTCTTCCTATAGTTACAATGATCCAGTGTTTCTAATTTAATAGAAGGACTTCTCACACTGAAAGGAAAAAGAGAAGACAAAAACTGGTCACCTTGCATAGCAATTGATATCACTGTCACGAAAGAGTCACAGGACAGGACAAGTGGGTGAGTGGGTAACGGATGAACATTAGGTACATATAAAATCAAAGGAATCAAGAAGACATTTCAAATGCATGAAAAACATCATCAAGTACACAAAGGATCTCCCAGTTGATGCATTATGAAATGCCATATGTTTTTCCTCTCAGTTGGGAAAAGGGTAACTTGTGAACCCTGGCTATTCCCCTACTATGTTCTTCGTTCTCCTTGGTGTTGTAGAAACCTCTGCCTCAGACAAGCCAGCAGGGGGTTGGGAGTCAGGCATCCGCTCATGCTCCTTGGAAGCTGAATGATGCCCAGGGTGTTGCTCCATGCTGTTCAGAAAGATGCGTGAATGCATTATCTGTGTCTAATGCTCTAATTGATGCAAATGCAAATCACAATGTTTCTACTATTTTGGTGGCTTAGGTACTCATCCGTCTGCTTTTCTCTAGGACGTTCTTTTGAAATTTCTAGAATGGGGACAAATGGAATGGGTACCTTAGCTGCTTTCACAAGGAGAGCTAAGTTGAAAGTTCTAGTGAAGGGTGGACCATGACTGAAAAAGACCCTGTCCTGGCTGAGAAAGTCCTTTTCTCTCATTGGGGCTGCAGCTTTAGAAGGAGGCACATGCATGACCAGGAAGAAATACAAAGGCCTAACCTAAGACCGTGGTGGCAAAGAGGGACAAGAAAGAATCGTCTTCAGAGGGTATGGAGGTAGAATGCACAAAATTTAATGTCTAACTGGAGGTGTATAGGAGAAGGGGAAATCAGTGTGAATCAAAGTTTTCTGATGTGGCTGGGTGAATAGCCCATTTATTCTACAAGATAGGAAATAAAGAAGATTAAGTAGGTTTCTGGGGCTAGACAAGTCCAGTTTTAGACACATTGCGCTGGTTGTGCCTATGAGATATCCAAGTGGTGATGAGTAGAAGGCAGATAGATGTATAAAATGCATCAGCAACACTGTCAACTACTGATATGTGAACAATAGTACTTGAATCCAATTCTCTATTTTCAGTATGTGTATTAACTCTTGCAGGGTTACTAGGGAAAGGAATACAAATGGTTTATCCAATAGCACTCTAAGGGTTGCAAAAAATAAAGACATCTCTCACTATTGTGCTGTATTTGTACACTGAAATGAAGTGATTTAACTACCCACAGCATCATTTCTCTTGTGAGCTATCTCTGCTGGTTTGCAGCTTCTTGTCCACATGAGTGTGGCTGGCATCTGGACCAGATTTAAAACAGTTACCAGGCAGACAGAGAACAGTGCTCTGGAACCCTTCTTCCATCCAACCTCACTGTCTATCCCATTTTCCTATGTGCATTCTTACTTCCAGCTGCCGCAGGGTCATTGAGTCTTAGCTTAAATCAAATGTCCTCTGGCTCTAGGTCCCATGATGAAAAATTTATGGAGTCCTGGACACATTACAAGTTTTACAGCTTTACAGCTGAAATCCTTCAGGTCCTCCTGACCTACTGAAGGAAAAAAATATGTTTTATTTTATTGTGATTCCCAAACACTCTTCTAGTATGTACATTTCTCCTACAGAATGGATATGTTGCTTCCAGCAGTGTGTTTTATATTACCTTGAAGAGTAGGGAAGCTCTGATAGGAGGAAAAAAAGAAAACAGAACTTGTAACGGGACATAGGACCAAGTCTATGGATCATTAGTCTGTCTTTCTCTCTGACTGAGAACACCTTATGTGAGTCAATGACTGTACCCTAACTTGTTTCCAAAACAGTTTCTATCCTCCAACTAATGATGTGCTGGTCTTTGTTTTTATTAAATTGTATACGTATATAAACACACAAGAATTTTCTTAGGACCTTAAAAATATTACCTGATCTTGAAAAGTCCAGGATATACCTTGTTACTCATGAATTAAACTTATTCCAGATAATAGAATTTCTAAATCTATACCCAAACCCCAAATCTCTCTCTCTGTTCAGGAGACTATAAACAACGCTTTGGATATGTCTTGAAAACAAGGTAGCTAGCGGCGCTTACCTTGACAATGAAATCTGCTGTGAGTGGTCCAGTCATTCTCAGTATCTCTTTGTCTGGAAATTTCTGGAAGTCGACACTAGAATTGTCCACAAGAAAGTTGCCTGTCGAGCTGAGACTGTTTTCACCTTTAGCCCCCAGCAGGGTTTTGGTTTCCAGATCTACAAGTTCAAACACATATAAAGGGGAGAAAGATGTTCCCAGGGCTGCCCCAGACCACATGCAAGCACGTTTCATAAAACAGTCTACAGCTATGTAAGGGAGAAGTACCATCCTTTATATGGCTGATGCCGTTGAAATTGGGATAGAACCAAAATTTATGGGTGCCTCGATCACAGAGGAGTTTACGTTGCAAGTGAAATTATTTTAAAACTCATTAGCCAAGTGTTCAAGGCTCCCAGTCCAGAAATCTTTGACTACCGGACGATCACATTAGGGTAGCCCACATTTCTACCATCCTATTCCTTAATTAAACCACTCCTGTACATATCTTACTGATTTCGGTCTCTATGGGTCTCTGTTTAGAATACCCTCCAGTTTTCTTTTTGATCCGTGAGATTCAGAGTGCCTCGCAGAGTTCCTCTCAGCACCTGTGTGACTTAATATCCATGTATTACCTTGTGTGCATTTGTACTATCTGCTCTCTTACCACGTGTGTGCTGTGGCTCGCCATGAAGAAATGATAGTAATGAGGACAAAGAAGTCAGCATTCTTTTTAGTTCACTCTCTTTTTAAAGTCTTGCTGGGTACCTAATACAGTATTATGTGCATATATGATATTTTGTTAAGTGCCAAAGAGAAAAAGAACTTCTTGATTCCTGGAGCATTCCAATCTGAATTTGGCCAATGATAAAGGTGATGAAACATCTTTTGTTGGAGGAAATGTGAGCAAGCTGGGGATGATGGTAGTTACACTGTATTTCAGAGCAGGTTAAATGCTCATGTGATCGAGAAATGATTTAAAACAACTGACCACTGTATGAAGAGGGACAGACTAAGTCTAAAGGTTTCTAAACTTGCATAAGAATCCTTAGCTTTGGGGGCGCCTGGGTGGCTCAGTGGGTTAAAGCCTCTGCCTTCGGCTCAGGTCATAATCTCAGGGTTCTGGGATCGGGCCCCGCATCGGGCTGTCTGCTCAGCAGGGAGCTTGCTTCCCCCTGCCCCCTGCCTCTGCCTGCCTCTCTGCCTACTTGTGATCTCTATTTATTTATTTATAAATAAATAAACTCTTAAAAAAAAAAAGAATCCTTAGCTTTGGCATAAGGATATAGTGCCAGGTGAGCCTCTGGGTCTCGTACCCCACATTCAACCAGAATGACTCCCTTCTTCTATGTCTTACAGATTGGGGATCTAGGATAGTTTTAGGACCTCTGGAGGTACTAAATTATTCCAAGTGTTGTCTATTTCAAGCTGGAATACCAACAGATAAAGAATGTTGGTGTCCAATGAAATGCCCACGACCCTCAAATGAAATCTGTGTAGCCCTTTTTCTGGAGTAGGTCAGGCTCCATCCCCCTGACCTAGAGAAGAGAGGTCCTCACAGAAGAACACGAACAACACCAAGGGGGAACAGGAGGGGAAACCACAGCTGTTGTCATCAGAGCAAAGCCAGCATCATGGGCTCTCCTTCCTGTAGCCTTCATTCTTCAAGCCACCTTATGCGTATGTGTACTCATTTGTAGATATAGCTCCAAGACATAAATCAACTTAGTTTTGGAAAAATCCTGGAGGTCTAAGTCTGATCTGAGCAACTGATTCAGTTTTATCACCAGATCTCCCAGCCATACTTCCCAAGGTACTTCTGGTTGAAAATAAGCTGGGGCCGGACCAGACTGCTTGCCTAGTCTTTTTCTGGTTTGGCCCCAAATATTTCAAGTTAGTCCCATATTAGACCAGCTTCTGAGAGTTAAGTGCAAAGGGTTGCAAGAGAAATAGGGTGTCATTTATTCACATATTCATTTTACATTATATATTATATTATATTCCAGATACACAAGACAAAAAGTTCTTGAGTTCCATGTATGTTGTCAACAGGACGTCTGTTGGGGGGAAAAAATTCCATTTTGCTTTCCATCATTTACAAATATCATCTGCCACTTCACCTATTGAGTTCTTGGGACAATTAGAGCAAATGAGGCTCAGTCTTTAGCTTCTTAGAGATCACATAATTAGGAAAACTGAGAGGCTCACATTTATAAAAATGAATTTTCATTTCAATCTATTCTTTGGGGGTCTTTCTCCTGCATGGAGGAGTCAGTCCCCTACTTGGTGATGATCTCTGCCTGGAAGTTTTATTCTGAGCAGGCCTTTCACTGCTCAGAAAAATACTGTTTTTGAGTGGGGGTGCTACATGAGCAGTTACCTCTGTCCAATCCTCCAGGGGGGGAAACAAATCATTTGAATGGTGATAGTGTACACACATATATCATCCCTTGACATGTGAACATTATATTTTGGGGGGTTTGTTCAGGGTTAGAAAAGAGCCTGGATCCATATAAGGTGACATATCAGCATCTTCTGGCTTTGCCTGAACTCTACCTTATTCCTTCCCTTCACGTAACCCCTCAAATCCCACCTCTCCCATGAAATGTATTTATTTTTATTTTTAGAAAGACTATAGTAGGCTATCTGAACTTTCACAGGCTCCAATTTATCTTCCTCTTGTTTGTCTTTCTGGAATGATTTCATTTATAATCCAATTGCCAAAAGATAATGCTTGCTACCTAAATTGGTTTCCTAGGCATGTGTGTGGGAGGAGAGAAATTACAGAAGATGATAGATGGCTCTTTAGGAATCCAGGAACAGTCACAGCAGAGGAGATCAGAAATGCTCAAGGGACCAGCTGAAGTCAAGCCTTTCAGTGGAACTGAATTTTTTAGAAAACACAATGTATCCTCTTATACCCCTTCCCTGGCTTGAGGCCTCTAATTGCCTGCTGGTAATTTACAGGTCTACCTCTAAACAATAATAAATGCTAATAATAAAAAAAGAAAAGATGTGGCTGTGTACTACTGCCTTGGCAGGAGTGAAGATATCAATTCTTTCTAAATTCTGGTGGGGCCATGCTACCATTTGATCTTTAGGGTTGTGATTACCCATCAATCCTCAATCCCAATAGCTATCTTCAGTATATGAGGGCTTTGTATTGTCTTTAATACATGGAATGTTTAATCATACCACTATGGCTTTCTTTAAATGTTCAGTTAAGGCTGTCTGGTGCTTCTAGGTCCCCTGAATTGATAAAATAATAGAACATGAGAATAGGAAGAAAGAATGAAGGTGAGGGAGGGAAGGTTGGAAGAAAGAAGGAAAAAAAAGGAGAGGCAAGGTAAGAGAAAGACTGAGACTGATTGGAGAGGAAGAAGAGAGAGAATGAGAAATAATATTCACAAAAGCTAAACATGTGCTTGACTCATGAAAAACCTATTGGGAGCATCTATTTTGTATTCTTCAGGATGAGTGTGGTTAGAGATAATTACTCTGAGGTTTCTGCTATCTCATCAAGCAGCCAAAAGATACACAGAAGCACTCAAAATATCATATTATGATAGAGTGGAAGGATTTGCACTTCTGTATTTTAATCTCTTCTGGGAACAAAAAATAATAGTGACTAAAATTCTCAATACCCAAAAGAAAACAACTGAGCTTACTTACACAAGTGATCAGGTCCTTTTAAGACGAGGCGAATATGTCTGCTTCCATAAGGAACAGCAACCACAGTATCATCCACTAGAGAGAAACAAAGGGGTATCTTAAAAGCACATAATTTGATACAAAATTATCAATTAGCTGCTATATAAATGCATTGACTTATACACTACCCCAAAGGACAATCATCTTTTAAGTGTTTGAAATAGGAACACCAGTATTTGGGAATCAAAATTTCCATTTCCCTCAAAATAAAACATGCCAATGAAGCTAGTCACTAGTTAACTTATGGGGGACCTGACCTTTTAAAATACATATATGTAAATTTTGATATATTGAGAAATGAATTTACAAGTTTCCATTTCTGAATTTAAAACCTGGTTTTACATTACTAAACTTCTCCAGATTCTGAAAATGAAAATAAATTTGAATAGTCAAAGGAGGACTGTATTATATCAAGATCTGAATTTCTTTCTAGCCAAGTAACTATCTTGGATTATTCGGAACAATAAGAACAGGGGAAATCATCTTTGTTCGTATTTGTTAAATCTCTCAAGGGCAGAAATCATGTCTCCCAGTTCTTTAATATCCTTCACCCTACCACATGTAATATTATATATAGTAAGTGTCACAGGAATGGTTATGAACTTTTCCCCTCACATACCCTCTCTGCTTGAAAATTATTATTATTTTCTGCTTGAAAATTAAAAAACAAAACACTTTTTTTTTTTTTTTGGCTGAATCATAGCCAGATTTAGAAATGGATTACTTTCACTCTATTTGCAAACTGAGATTCAATTCACTGGAAGCAGAACCTACTTTTTTCTTTTTTAATTAGAGGTATATTCTATATTCAAACACATCCCAAGCATTCTCACTTGTGACATCTGTGACAGCAATACCTCTCATTTACCTGCCACTGAAGAGTTTCACTTTCTAAATTCACCATTTACTCCTTCACCCAAAGCTTGTGACATAGGCAAAGAGGATGCTACAATCTCCATTTCATGATGACGAAATAGAGCCTCTGAGAAGTACAGGGAGAGGCCCATGGTCAAAAAAGAGGAGGGCATTCCAGAAGAAAAGGAAAAAAGCAGGCACTTTAAATTCACCAGAATATTCAGAAGCTCTGTGGGATTCTTCGTTTCACACATATTTTTCTGATACTATACATTATCATGCTCTCATTGGAAAAATTTAGTTTCCATAAGAATAATCCTAAAAGATAACCCAATGTTCTGAGACTTACCATTATCCTTCTTTAGGAGAATCTGATTTCTACAAATGAATCTCAGAAGTTCCCTAACTTCTCTGATCTTTAGTTTCCTCATTTGTAAGACAGGGAAAACCACACTTGCCTCACAATATTGTTGTAAAAAGATACAGATAATGATATCAATATATAGATGTATAGCCTGGAACACAGGAGGCATTTTGTAAATATTACTTTCCTCCTTCTCTTCCAAATCTCCTTAAGGACAGGAACTGAAAGACTGTTTATTTTTACAATGATTTTAAACCCTCCAACATAGCCAGTTGAATGAGAAAGAAAAATCATATGCTCTCAATTCTTTCCCTAAAGAGGGTACATTTACCAAGTTCTCTCCAATGTTGAATATTCCACTCACACTACAACCTTCTCGCAGTTTTTAATGTCATACATTGTTGAAGAAAAGGCTGAATCTCAGAGAGCCAAGACTTTGTGGCTGTAAGCACAAAACATGTAAGGAGAATATAGAAAAGGAACAAAAAGTGTTCAGACTGGGCCCATAGAGCTTTAAATGTCTTGCATAAAGACATGGATTTTTAAGTTTACAAAAGAAACTCAAAGCAGTTAAAACAATGGGATTTCTGGAAATAGAAAGTCTTTGTTTATCCACAGGTCAAATAAAGTGCAAGTAAAAGGGAAGCTTTCTGTTTGGCTCTGCAAGGCTCAACGGCAGGCTTCTGACCTACACACAACTCAGGCGGCCTCCCTCTTGTTCTGGTGAGAAGCCACTCGCATTCCACTTACTGGGGCATTTACCCTAACTTCTGGCTGATGCGTTAACTTGGTATGCTCCCCAGGGAAGATGGGGAGAAACCCAGAAGGGTGTTGGGGGAAGAGGCTAGGATGGAGACAGGAGATGGGGCTAGAATGGAACGTCTCTTGATACCCCCTGCACTTGTCTAAGTCACAGTGAAACAGGGAGCATCTCAAGCTGGTGCAGACTTGAAGAGTCCAGCACAAGGCACAGGAAGTATGAAGAGTCATGGTCTGTTTTTTTGTGGTTCCGTACAAGGCTGATGGACAAATGACAGCTCATCAGGCAATCAGCAAGTTCATGCCTTTATTCCACAAATAGTTTTTGAGTATCTCCTAGTGTCAGGCTCCCTCCTAGGTACCAGAGATTCAGTGACAAAAAAGGCCAGCCAAGCAGCAGCCCCGCAAAATGGTCCAAGAAAAAGGGACCCAAGATAAAAAACGAGGGATAATACCACATGTTCTGCCCTGCTCATGGAAATCCATAAAGCACACTGGTTTCTTAGAAGCCCTGAACTGGGGGCGCCTGGGTGGCTCAGTTGGTTGGGCGACTGCCTTTGGCTCAGGTCATGATCCTGGACTCCCAGGATCGAGCCCCACATCGGGCTCCCAGCTCACTGGGGAGTCTGCTTCTCTCACTGACCTCTCTCCTCTCATGCTCTCTCTCTTTCTCTCAAATAAATAAAAAAAAAATCTTAAAAAAAAAAAAAAAAGAAACCCTGGATCCAAGAACTTCATTTCATTCTATGTAACCCAGGGTATCCCCCAAGAGTTTACCCAGGGAATTTTTATTAACACTGTTAACACAGTGTTATCGCAAAATGTAATTTAAGAAGTGGTGATCTTAATTTGACAGAAAGATAGGAAAAAAATTGATATTATATTCTGCATGTTGATAAAAAGCCACTCTTTAGTTGGATATGTATTAATAATTGTCTTACTGGGGAGTCTGGTTTTATCACCCATTTCTTTAGTGATTAATTCAATAGGTTCGGTTGGTGGGGCAGAAGGGTACACCCTCTTTCATTGGACCTCACATTCCTGAGGGTGCCCTTTTCCACAAAGACACACTGCTCTATGACAAAGGGCATCTGGCCTAATCTATTCTGGCTGTGTTGACAGGACCATGAAGCCAGTTGTCAGGACTATTTCTAGGTTCTTAGTCAGCAATTCTGGAAGACCTGCTTCAGAGATCAGATAACATCTTTCTCCATTAAATAGACAAGCTTTCCATGAGAATCATAAATGCTGTCATTTCACAAATATCGGTTGCAAATTGTTATAAAGATTCTACTTAAAGTATTTCCTCAAAGAATCTACAGCTATATGTATATTCCACAGCTTTCTATTGAATATTTTTATTTGTTTTTCAATCTCATCATATGTAGACTTTTTTGTGTCATTCATTGCTGTAACACAAAAAGGTCATAATGATAATTTTTGAAGAGACAGGATTTCCTATTCTGGTATCTGAACTTGCCTTATTGTTAGACCTGTTGATGTGTATGTTTTTAAACAGTCTTCCCTCTGAGTCTATGAGACTGATAATTTTTTTAAACAAAAGTGTCATCATTAAGGTGGTTGGCTATGTATAAAAATAGCAGTACATACAGTCGCCAATCTTGAGGAGATTTTCATAGTATATTTTTTATCTTCATGCTAACTTTATTACCTTACAATGTATCCAATGAAATAAGGTGAAGCTGAGCATTTGAGCCCTTCAACTTCTCCCCACCGAGGTTATGGATCATTACACAATGGAGGCAAAACAAGATCGATCTTCCTCAACAGTTGGGAACTTCATCCTTACAGTCATCCAGGCCAAAAACTTTGGAGCCAACCTTGACTTCATATTTATATCTAATCAGTTAGAAAATCCTATTGCCACAAGAGTCAAAATACCATATTTCACAGACTCTAAGACAAAGGATCTCTCACATTCTAATATATGTGAAATCAGAAATTGGCCCACAACCAATGGTGACTTGAAAGAATATTCTTTCTTGCTGAGGCAGTAATCCTGCCACAGTCGTCTTTGCCTGCACAGTTGCTAACAGCAGTTAGTTAACTAAGTTGCTAACACCAAAGCGGCCAGTATCAAACTTGCAAAATGGATGTCAGCAGCTTGGAAGAAGATTCTAGGATAATAGGAGGACACCCTTATCGGAACTAAACAGTTGTGAGGGTCATAGGGAGATGAGGAATCAGAAGTGCTTAATAACACTGCCAAAGTCAGAGTCAAAAGCTAGTTATGCAGTTGCAAACCTGAGTTAAGAGCCCAGCATCAAGACTTCTCTTTCCTGACAAATGGATTAATAGCGCCCAGACTTAGTTTTCTGCCTGGAAACAACCCAAGGCAGAAAATTATATAAAACCATGGTTTTCAAGATGCTGGACATCAGGCAAAGAAGGGCAGCAATCCATGAGAATCAGGAAACAAGGTAGGTAAGTGTTAACACTGCCTCAGCTTCCTCCTTTGAAAGATTTTCCTGGCTGCATCTCAGGAGATAGGAAACCCAAGCCTGGAGGATTCCTTGAGCTGAGACAAAGTTGGGAATCCAAGAAGATGAAGGTTATATAGTATAACTTTATTCCGTATGTTCAAAAACTTAAGTACATACGTACAAAAATCTTCAGGCCCAGAGAATTTTCAATGATGAATGCTACCAAGCATTCGAAGAAGAAATAACATCAATTTTATACAATCTTTTCCAAAAAAACAGAGAAATCACTTCCCAAATCATTGTATGAGTCAGCATTATACTGCTACCAAAAACTAGAGAAGATGGTATAAGAAAAGGATCCTACATGTAGAGAAAGGGGAACCCTCCTACACTGTTGGTGGGAATGCAAGATGGTGCAACCACACTGGAAAACAGCATGGATGTTCCTCAGAAAGTTGAAAATAGAGCTACCCTACGACCCAGCAATCACACTACTGGGTATTTACCCCAAAGATACAAATGTAGTGATCTGAAGGGGCATGTGAACCCAAATGTTTATAGCAGCAATGTCCACAATAGGCAAAGTTATAAAAGAGCCTAGATGTCCATCAACA